ATATGGTTGAAAGATTGGTAAAATTTAGAGAAGGTCAAGGAACTGATATTTATATATCAAATAATAAAAGCATTATTTATTCAGGTATATTGTGTAGTTTGATAATCAAATATGTTTCTATGATCGAAAACTTTTGGATTTATTTATAAATAAAAATCCATGATGTGCTTTTCATAATAAAACCCGACATGCGTAACACTGATCATCATGAATGTTTTTAATAAGGACGAATGTCGTCAGCACAAAGTCAACATACTGCTTATAAAAATAGATCCTGAAATGTTACTTAGTACGAATTTTATTGTGAAAACAGATTTGCATCATAAAACTTGACAGTATAGATCTAACATCTGTCTATATTTTCCAGATGAGGGATTGTAGTTATTTACACTATTTACAATGTACGGACTGTTGTCCTCATCTTGGTTGCCATATTCGCGACGTTTCGGCCGTTGAACGCTCCGGTCTTCTTCAGGATCTGTCTATATTTCTGAGATGAGGTATTGTAATTATTGAAATTATTAGCACTGTACAGACTGTTGTCCTCATCTTTGTTGCCATATTCGCGACGTTTCGGTCGTTGCAAGTCCCGGTCTTCTTCAGGATCTGTCTATATTTCTGAGATGAGGTATTGTAATTATTGAAATTATTAGCACTGTACAGACTGTTGTCGTCATCTTTGTTGTCATATTCGCGACGTTTCGGCCGTTGCAAGTCCCGGTCTTCTTCAGGATCTGTCTATATTTCTGAGATGAGGTATTGTAATTATTGAAATTATTAGCACTGTGCAGACTGTTGTCGTCATCTTTGTTGTCATATTCGCGACGTTTCGGCCATTGCAAGTCCCGGTTTTCTTCAGGATCTGTCTATATTTCTGAGATGAAGTATTATATGTATTTACATTAATTGCACTGTACGGACTGTTGTCTTCATATGTGATATTCGCGACGTTTCGGTCGAAAGAAGAAGGCCGGAGCGTACAACAGCCGAAACGTTGTGAATATGACAATAAAGATGAAGACAGAGGTCCGAACAATGTAACTAGTGTAAATAGTTACAAGACCTCATCTAAGAACTATAGACAGATGTTGAAGCGTTGATATGTTGTAAAATTCTCTTATTCACTTAAACCAACGTATATCAGCTGAAGAAGACCGGAGCGTATAGCGGCCGAAACGTCGAAGGTTCGAAGAATGCAAATAAGGTCGATCTAGTATAATAAAGTACATAGAAAATGACACGAGGAAGATAGAGTTAGCGAATTTTCCAGAAAGAGTGTCTGTCTGCCGAGAAAATCGGCATTCAAAATCTTGGCGTTTTACCTGGGATCGAAACCCGACTTCTGACACTAGTGAGAAATTACATATAAGTACAAGTCAAGTAAGCCAGTCCCCAAACTTAATTTCAAACTTATTTGATAATATTACAAAGGCCCTAGGTGATGTTCCCGATATCTGGAATTACGTGTTCGAATTTTGGCTAAGGCAGTCTGCGCACAAGAAATAATTATGTTTTATTTCGGAATTTCTGAAAATACGAGGAAGGTTGAAAAGCGCACTGACAAAGATATTATGACAAAACAAAAGCAAAAGTAAAAATAAGCTCTCCCCAAATTAAGACAAACGATGAGGACACTTTCCTTCAGACTCGAAAGGTCGTAGAATGTATCGGCTGGAATAGAGTGATTTATATTTTACAATAAGGTTCAACCTGTACAAGGCGCATGAGACACTCGAGATAGAAGGTTACGGTGTAAGAGGCACATGTACGCTTACGTATAACGTTTAACTCTCGACTTGAATAGGATTTTTGTGATGGGGAAGCATCCTCTTGGGAGCTAGTTCCACAAAGTAGCGACTCGTGGGAAGAAGATGTTTACCAAATGAAAACAAAGAGTGAGGGTGATTCACTAAAATGGGAGATAAAAGAATAGGAAAGAGGAATTTTGAGGAGGGGAGAGAGTATGGAGAGAAAGGAGGGGAGAGAGAGAGAGAGAGAGAGAGAGAGAGAGAAATTTTGAGGTGTGTTATCTAACGTGGGATGTCAAGTGACGTCTATTTCTGAGATTCAATCGTACTGTTACGGGTGGTGAACGGGTGGTGAACGGGTCAAATGACAAGAAGGCCGCCGTCATCAGTCGTTGAGTCCGAAAGCAAATCTGGGTCATTGCAGTTAGTGAAGAACTCATAAGGAAAGGACAAAACAAAGGTGTAGAAAAAGTCACCTTGTAAAATCATCGAACGAATGAATTCAAAATACAGGTCAATCGACATTTTACGTCTGTTTGTTTCTATCTATCTATCTATCTATCTATCTATCTATCTATCTCAGTCTGTTCATATCTATCTATCTATCTATCTATCTATCTATCTATCCGTCACTTCATATATGGATCTATCTATGGACCTATTTCACTTCAGATCTATGTCACTTCATATCTATCTATCTATCTATCTATCTATCTCACTCCCTACTTAATTGTCTATCTGACTTCACAACTATGTATCCCACCTCCTATCTATCTATCTATCTATCTATCTATCTATCTCAGTCTATTCATATCTATCTATCTATCTCTGTGTCTATCTCATTCTGTTCATATCTTTCTTTCTATCTATCTATCATCTCTGTTCATCTATCTATCTTTCAGTCTATTCATATCTATCTATCTATCTATCTATCTATCTATCTAATCTCAGTCTATTCATATCTATCTATCTATCTATCTATCTATCTATCTAATCTCAGTCTATTCATATCTATCTATCTATCTATCTATCTATCTATCTAATCAGTCTATTCATATTCATCTAATCTCCATCTATCAATCTAATCTCAGTCTATCTATCTATCTATCTATCTCATCTATCTATCTATCTATCTATCTATCTATCTATCTAATCTCAGTCTATTCATATCTATCTATCTATCTATCAATCTAATCTCAGTCTATTCATATCTATCTATCTATCTATCAATCTAATCTCAGTCTATTCATATCTATCTATCTATCTATCTATCTATCTATCTATCTAATCTCAGTCTATTCATATCTATCTATCTATCTATCTATCTATCTAATCTCAGTCTATTCATATCTATCTATCTATCTATCTATCTATCTATCTATCTAATCTCAGTCTATTCATATCTATCTATCTATCTATCTATCTATCTATCTAATCTCAGTCTATTCATATCTATCTATCTATCTATCTATCTATCTAATCTCAGTCTATTCATATCTATCTATCTATCTATCTATCTATCTATGTCACTTTATATCTATCTCTTTATATAAATGTAATCGTTCCTGGTTCGACACTTATTTATGACGTCTTCCCTTAATCTTCTACTAAACATTCTTCCACTGGTGTAAATAGCTTTAACACATTTCTTATATTATTCCATACTATACTTGCCTATACTTTGTTTATTTTATTTTTATCTATGATATACAAGTAAAAGATTTAAAATACCATATCTGCTTTAACATCGCGTTAAATTACAATTAATAACTCATGAATTATATTTATTCTCGTTAAATCTTCCAACTATATCCGGGCACTTAATGGTTGATTAATGATGACGGAGCCATAACACAAAGTACTGAATTATTATATCGACACACGTTCGGTTGCAGAGCTACCATTAACTTGTCCTTTTCTTTGGCTATTCTAGCGATATATATATACGGATTTTCTAAGTCCGGTTTAGATGCGGCACAAGGCCAAAAGTATGGGGCACCCAGTAAGAATCGAACTCACTACTCAGTCGTAATTGTTCTAGCAAGACGAGCTTTCAACCACTTCACCACGTCGAGGTGCCTAATATATATATATATATATATATATATATATATATATATATATATATATATATATATATATATATATATATATATATATATATATATATATATATATATATATATATATATATATATATATATATATATATATATATATATATAATTTTCGACCCTAGTTATGTCAGACATACGGACCGAGTTGTAAGCAATAGGCTAACGGGGGAAAGGAGAAGAAATTGGAAATTTTCTATTCCTTGAAACTGTTAAGTTCGTAGAGGCTTAATAATGTACTTAACTAGCTGTTATTTTGCCTGGAGCTATTTTTGCATGTTTTCCAATGCATGTAAATTTTGGTTTGTTGTACTGAGTAGAACATTGCTAATTTTCCTTCTTAAAGTATTTGTTAAGTTATTCTAGTTCTGCTGATTCAAATTCCAGCCAATATTACTGCATTCGGTTTTGTACTAATGCCCTTGGGAAAGGTATAAATCAATATTTTCTTACTCTAGCTATGGGTTAAATAGCAATGTAGACTGAGCTCACTAACCATGGGTGACAATCAACCTAAGAGAAAGAAAATTCCAAATCAGCAGGAAAGTGTGTAGAGCCATGATCGCCCAAGTCATAGACTAATATCAAAGTAATCACTAAGTATTTTGCAATCAGCTTTGAATACATGATTTATGTATAACGATATAGATATAGATATACATAAAAATATATTAATGGGAAAAAACAACACGAAACAAAGCTGATAAGGAAACAATTTAACACATAATGTATATTTTATGAACAATTTACTGAAAATGATGGCGTTTATCTGCTGCCAGAATTTCTGGAAATTTACAGACACAGAGAATAAATGTAGAAACGAAGTTGGTTTTACTTTATCTTTTTTTAGTAGAACTCCTTCCCTTCCTACAAATGCTCTAAAAGGGTCAGATCAGACCAAAGATGGAATATTGCTGCCATTTTCTGGACTGGAACTGACCAATCCTCATTGTCTAGCCTTGAGGTCAAAAGTGTTTACGTGGTCTTGTTGTTTGGGTGTGTGTGGGGGGTAACTTATTTCCCACTCTTCCAACCCGTCGCATGCCGCTCGTTACTTGATAGCTATTTCCATGGCAAATGTTCAGACGGGCTCCATTCCTTAGTTCCACCAGTTCAGACCTTTACATCGAAGCCTCTTGCTGCTCTATCGCTATTTCCATGGCAAATGTTCAGACGAGCTGCCTTCCATAGTTCCACCAGTTCAGACCTTTACATCGAAACCTCTTGCTACTCTATCGCTATTTCCATGGCAAATGTTCAGATGAGCTGCATTCATTAGTTCCATCAGTTCAGACCTTTACAGCTAAGGCCTGACATGTCGAACAATATTGAAAGGTCATGGCATTTCTGGACGAATTTTTGAACTGATTCACTCTTTCTCATTAAATAGCGAAATGAATATCGTCTTGAATGACCACTCTTCTAGATCCTATTGCTTTAATGTAGGTGTTCCCCAGAGTTCTATTTGGACACAACACATGACAGAATTGAAATTATGGTTTTTTTTATATCATTTCATATCAATATAGTGTAAAAGATTTTTGCTATCATCTCTAAACTGGATCCCCACACAGCATGTGGAACTGATGCTATCTCTATGGTCTTTAAGAAATGTGCTCTTGAACTGTCTCCCGCTTCTCTCTAAACTTTGTAATAAATGATTGGCTATTTTCTGCTTGCTGGCTTGTTGGAAATCCTCTTCTGTAGTTCCAGTTTTTAAGAATTCAGGTGAACTGTATGGTCCTTCTATCGGTCTATTAGCCTTCTGTCTCTTTTTGGCAATGTACTAAAGGCCCTCATCAACTCTGAACTGTTTAAACGCCTTACATAGCAGGTTCTTCTTTCAAATAAGCAATATGGTTTTTGCTTCTATAGGTCATCTGCTGATGTATTAACGATTATTGTTGAAAGAGTCTATCAATCTAGACTAGAATGGTAAAGCTTGAGCTGTTGCTTTTGACATCTCAAAGGCATTTGACAGGGTTTCGCATGCTGGTCTTCTTCACAAGTTTATGGCATTTATGGATGAATTTTTGAACTGATTCAGTCTTTCTCATCAAATTGTAAAATGAAAGTTGTCTTGAATGGCCACTCTTCTAGATCCTATTGCATTAATGCAGCCCACGCCCCAGGGCTATATCCGTGCATCTACGTTATTCCTGATTTTCATAAATGACCTTCGTCATGTCATCAGTTCTTAGTTCCGTATTTATGCTGATGACACAACTATTTACTCCTGTTTTAATAGTAAATCCGATCAGTTCGATAAGGTCAAATTGGCAGATGATCTAAAAAATGACAAACAATCTGTTGTTAAAAGAGGCAAGGAGTGGCTTATTAATTTTAACTCCTCCAAAACAAAACTACTCTTTTTAAATGACTGATAGAATCCTTTTTATCAATATGGCTGATGCTAACCTTTAGGAGAAAGGTTAATTGTGCTTTTCTCTTACTATCGTTTTACTCTGATATGAAGTGAAAAGATTATATTGAATCATTTGCTTGGTCTGCTGTTAAGAAAATTGTTTCACTGTGTCGTGCTAGATAATTTTTCTCTCCAGAATCTATCTTACATATTTAAAAGTCTACCATTCATCCAGGCTTTGAATAACATTGTCACATATAGTCCGGTGGCCTTGCTATATCTGTAGAGATTCTTAATTTTAACACCTCAAAAATGAACTTGCTCTTTTTAATCATTTGAGAGAACTATTCTTATCTTCCATCAACATGGCTGATGCTAACAGCATGAACATTACATGTTTGCATGAAACTCTGAGTTCTGCTATCGACATGGGATATTATATATATATATATATATATATATATATATATGTATGTGTGTATGATGGCCTGAAGATTGTGTTTAAGATTGAATCATACTGTTGTCTCTTGGTGTTGACCTCAATGTCCACTTTTATATTTATATATGCTCTATCTCTGATAGAGCATATATAAGCATATATAAGCATAATTTAATACATAAATATATAAGCATAATTTAATACATAAATATAATATATATAAGCATAATTTAATACATAAATATAGCATACCTTAAAACTATATATATATATATATATATATATATATATATATGGCTGATGCTAACCTCCAGGAAAGTAACTCATTGCACCTTTTAAGACTAATGTTTTCAGTTGACATGAAATGGAAAGATTATATTGAATCAATTATTAAGTCTGCAGCTAAGAAATTTGGTTCATTATGTCATGCCAGACAATTTTTCTCTCCTGAATCTATCTTATTTATAAGTTTACTATTGATCCATCCTTTGAATATTGCTGCCACATCTGATCTGGTGTTTCTGCTATATATTTAGAGATTATTAATAAAATCCAAATAAGAATCTGCAATGTTATTGGTCCAAACCTGGCATCTCGATTTCAGTCCTTTTCCCCACCACCCTAAATTAGCTTCCCTTTGACTTTTCCATAAATAATTTCATGGTAATTGTTCAGATTAGCTTTCCTCTTTGGTACCTAGACTTTATGAATTTAAGCGCAGTACTAGATTGGCAGCAAGGTCCCATCATTTTACCATTGAAATGGTTAGATGCAACCGTAAGTTCTATGTTAACAGTTTCTTCTCTCACTTCTCGATTGCATTCTTGCTTTCCAGTCAACTTTGATCTTCAAAAATTCATTATTGAATTATATTCTGTCTTAATTCTTGTTCTTTTATTGTTCTCTCTTCTCAATAGCGTTTTTTTTTTCTTCATATTTTTTTCACATTCAGTAACCCCTTGTGTCTTTATTGTCTTGTTTTTTTTGGGCGGGGAATTACCCTTCCACGACAAAAAAAAAAGCTTTGTGCCAGTCTAGCTAAGTTTCATAGATTTCTAAACTGAAGTTGCGTTTTATAATATGAAAATATATAAAGGAGGATGCGTCTTATACATTGAAACGTAGTTTTGAATTTACTTCTTTATACCGTCAATTGTATGCTGTAGAGAAGCAGCAGCAGCCATTGATCGAGAACATTACCGTTTTCACTACTACTACTACTAAGACATTATTTTCTCAACTTTTCTTTCTACGTACTCGTCTATTTACTGGCAGGGTTGGTTACTTGGGTGCAGAACCGTTTTCCAAATTCTTGACGTGGTTGTATGACAGGGCGCCATAGACGAGGCGGGTAGAATGTGTGAGCGGAGATGCGGCTTTCAGCGATCAACCCCGTTTTATTTTTTTGTTTTTTTTTAAGGAAGTTTGTTTAAAAAATATCACAGGATGTGTTTTGAATACAAATTCACAAGTAAACACTCGGGGCGGACAGTTTCTAAAAATACGTAATCACGGGCACTTCGACTATGGTGTAATGGTTAACAAGCTAGTCTCGCTCGATCACCTGTAACTAACGAGTTAAGTCCTCACTGGGTGCTTCATACTTTCTGCCTTGTGCCACTTTTAAGTTATGCT